GGATGTTGGATAGAAACTAAGAGGTTTTTAGCTGTAATGCTTTAAGAGACATGGAAAAAAAAGGTTAACAATTGGGTAAAAGATTAATGGTAAGGATTTGCTGAACCAACAAATTGAATTGGAATACAAAGAAGGGAGGTATGAGGAGGTCCGGGGAAATAAGAGTAAGGAAGATAGGTTATGGAACATTATTGTGTTTTTAACTGTTTTATTTTGTATGTTTTTTCTTATTTTCTACTTTTTTGCTGTACTTTATACTTTTTTTGTGAAACTTTAATAAATATCATTATTAAAAAAAAATAAAAGAGAGGCAGAGAGAGAGATAGCGCCAAACATATATTTGATTTGCTACTGGGGGGGGGGGTTTGCAAGCTGGGTGGAAAAAATTGTGGTGAACAATATAGGAAATTAAATGAATTTTAAAAACTAGAGATGGGTACCTGCTCTGAAACAAAGGGAGATACATAAAGGAATGGGAAACTTTTGGGACTCAGCTCTACAGCTGCAAATAAAACGTTTAAGTATGTTTTAAGTGCAATACTGAATGTGACGCTAGATGGCGATGTTGAGCCTTATGGGAAATTCAACGTGTTTTTTAAAATGCTTTTTGGAAAAGCATTTTCAGAACGTTTTTTATATGTGTGTAGATTTCACCTTGCATGAGATATGTGCAATTTTTTAGAAGATAAGGCTGAGAAGCCACACTCATCGCAGACGCACTTTATATATCAGGGGTCAGCAACCTTTTTCAGCCGTGAGCCGGTCCACTGTCCCTCAGACCATGTGGTGGGCCAGATTATATTTGGGGGAAATAAATGAACAAATTCCTATGCTCCACAAATAACCCAGAGATGCATTTTCAATAAAAGCACACATTCTACTCATGTAAAAACACGCTGATTCCCGGACTGTCTGCAGGCCAGATTGAGAAAGGCGATTGGGCCACATCTAGGCCTTAGGTTGCCTACCCCTGTTATATATGTTCTCCACATTCCAAGTTTCCAGATCAACAAGCCGAGTACCTCTTTATCTCTATTCTTATGCGCTATCTTCATGTGAGGAGCGAAAACCCAGCTATTTTGATTGTGTTTGGGTGCCTCTTTAATGGGCACTTCCTTCTATAAATCAGTCACTCGCTCCTTGGGACAGAAAATATATATACATAAACTCCCGCTGCTACATAGCACTGTAGGCTCCAAAAACATCAGAGGATCAAAGGGCAGGGAGATTCATCTCCCGAATAATCAAAACAATCCTGTCAACCTCCCCGAAGTGCCTGTTTATCCTAGCCCTGGCGGTCCATGTCGGGTAGAACCGCAGGAGGCGAATTTATCGGCAGCCTTCTTTGAATCTGTTCTTGCCTCATTGTTAGTGTCTCTCTCACAAAAGGCACCCGGGTTGCTAGCCCCTTCCTGCGTGTCTGTGAATGTCTGCAGGATCACAGCTTCCCACCAGTGATGATCTATCAGTGCTGGAGGTGTTAGGATAAGGAGGAACACTCTCCTAGGATCTGCCTGCTTAATATCATGGGAGATGTTGTTGTTGTTGCTGTTTAGTCGTTTAGTCATGCCCGACTCTTTGTGACCCCCTGGACCAGAGCACGCCAGGCACTCCTGTCTTCCACTGCCTCCCGCAGTTTGGTCAAACTCATGCTGGTAGCTTTGAGAACACTGTCCAACCATCTCGTCCTCTGTCGTCCCCTTCTCCTTGTGCCCTCCATCTTTCCCAACATCAGGGTCTTTTCCAGGGAGTCTTCTCTTCTCATGAGGTGGCCAAAGTCTTGGAGCCTCAGCTTCACGATCTGTCCTTCCAGTGAGCACTCAGGGCTGATTTCATTCAGAAAGGATACATTTGATCTTCTTGCAGTCCATGGGACTCTCCAGAGTCTCCTCCAGCACCATAATTCATGGGAGATGAAAGCCCCTCAAATAGCTTTCCTCAAGAACACCCTCCTCACCCTGTGACTTGCTGTGACTAGGGATGAAAGGGGTGGAGAAACCGGATTCACTTCGCATTCGGACGCGAACTTGAGAAATGAGATGCAAACCGAAACATACAGAGCCACCTTTTGAAATTTGCAGTTCTCAGAAGGTCGCAAATGCAGTTCTCTGGGCGAGGACTGCGTACAGAAATGGTATATGCTGGGGTAAAGGTGTGTATTAATATGCAGGAGTCTGTGAAAACAGCACGTGGAAATGTATTGTATTTGGGGAAATTGCCTTGCAAGAACATGCCCGTTAGGCAAAACTGAGTGCAAAAAATGAGCATATCAGGAGAAATTTGCGCTAAAATGCTGTTGCCTTTTCCTAGGGACTGTTAAAATAATTGCAAACTGATCTGGAAATATGGCAAACTAAATTTAAGATTGCAAAGGAAACATGGGGGGAAAAAGTGAAATAGACATATCTGCCCATCTCTAGCTGTGAACCTGGGAAAGCTAGAATAAAGTACACCCCCCCATGAAGTCAGCCAGTTTAAGTGTCTAATACTGTGACTGGTCATTTCTAGTGGGGCAATCTGTGGCCCCATGCCTGGAAAAGAGGGCAGGGCAAGCTAGGAACCATTCTGGGATGCCAACAGGCCTCATTTCCCACTGCTCACTGTTTCTTCTCATATTTCATTATTTAGTTTATTTATTTATTTGGTTTATATAGCCTCCCCCCCCCCCCAATTATCAATAGATTTAAGGGCGGTGGACAACATTAAGAATGTTTTTTTATAGAGCATATAAACAAAAACGTAACACAAAGAATAATAATCGACAGCATAATAGTTAAAGAATCATAATAACAGCCTTCGCCTCACATTGAGCAGGCAGTAGATCATTGAACGGCTGAAGGCCTGAATAAAGAGGAATGTTTTTGCATGGCACCTAAACAAGTGAGCCTCTCTCCCTTCCTGTGGTTTCCACCAACTAGTATTCGAAAGCACTGCTGCCTCCAGCTGCAGAGGGAGAGATCATTCATCAGGGCTAGTAGCCATGGACAGCCCTTTTCTCCCTCTAACCCTCTTTTAAAGCTGTCTAGGTTGTGGCCATTTCCTGTGGCAGTGAGTTCCATGTGCCATGTGAAGGACTTTCTTTTATCTGTGCTGAATCTTCCCATGTTCGACGAAATTAATAAACTCATGACAGCAGCAGCCATGTAACTTTTCTGTGCATCACAAGAAACAGCGCAGAAGGGGAAGTTGAAGAGAAGAAGAGTTTGGATTTGATATCCCGCTTTATCACTACCCGAAGGAGTCTCAAAGCGGCTAACAATCTGCTTTCCCTTCCTCCCCCACAACAAACACTCTGTGAGGTGAGTGGGGCTGAGAGACTTCAGAGAAGTGTGACCGGCCCAAGGTCACCCAGCAGCTGCATGTGGAGGAGCAGAGACGCGAACCCTGTTCACCAGATTACGAGTCTACTGCTCTTAACCACTACACTACACTGGCTCTCTCACCATTCCTCCCCTTTATGTGCTTTCACTGCCAGGGGCAATGCTGGGACTCACTTTCCCTGTTGGTGTGAGGGACAACCGACTGAGTCCCAGCTATCCTGCTCCTAGTCCCCCTGGCAAGAGCAATGTTTGAACCAGCCGCCCGCTGGCGGAAACACTTTAATGCAAACTCATCTGAGGATTTCCAGAGGAAAACACTGCTGAGCAAGAGGGCTTTTGCAGGGATTTCGTTTCCCATTTAATGCGCTTTGAACTACTTAGCGTACTGAATCTTTTATGGTTCGTGAGGCGGCACAATGCAGGCCGAGCCAACAATGATTGCAGCTCATAAAGCGGCACTTTCCATCCTTGTTTTTTTAATTGACTTTGGGCTTGTTTAGACTCCGCATCTGAAGAAAACCAGAATCCCCGTGCTGCTGGCTGGCTAAACTGGACTTGGCAGTGTGTCCCTCCCCAAAAAAGAAGGGCAAAGCATTCAGTGCTCTTGCCCTGGTTGTGACTGGTGAGCAGACATGAGCCTACACCTAATATTTCCATCCTTTCCATCCCTTTCTTCTTTGTCTGGTTCTTCCTGCTCTGCATCCCCCCCTCCTCCTCCTGAATTCTGGTTTAACTAAGAGCATTTCTAAAATTAATTCCAGAACTGGAGCATTGCACTGTGTTTTAGCTCTCAAGCTCCTTCAGTTTATTTGCATCTGTATTTCTGACATCCAGACTCGTAAACACTGTAAAAAAACAACAACACCCCAACAACCCTATACTGATTGCATCATTCCTTTAGTGCAGTGTTTTATGGGTGTGAACATTGAATCCAGTTCTCTGCCTTAGTGGGTCTTGATGGCGGAGGCAGCAAAAGGGCACGAAATCCTCACTGGGTAGTTGGAAATTACTATTTAAATTTCCTACAATTCCCCCAGTGTCCAGGCTCCTAGTATGTTTTTGAAATGCAGTTATTCATCGGATTTCATACTTCTCTGAATGTTGTGATGCGTGTCTTGGCTCAAAAAAAGAAAAAAGAAAAAGAAACCGAAAGGGTGTAAGAATGCATATTTTATTATTTATTATACTGGTTAATTGATTTTCTTAGAAAGACAAACTCAACATGATTCACGTTACAACCAATTAAAAACAACAAAGCCCTAGAAACACCAAATTCAAACAAAAGCCTAAAAGCCACAGTTGACAGAAAACACCTTTGAACTTTTTGCAAAGGTTTGAATCAACCACTCTCAAAAGTTCAGTCGGGGGTGGGGCACCTAAAAATTGGTGTGATTCTCTTTACTGTGGAATATGCAGCACTTCTGGGCTCCAGCTGCCCCTGGATAATTTGCCTCTTGTTTTACTCTCCAGGGTGAAAGCAGCCCATAAGGTGGAATTGCAGAGCCGGAAACGCCTCTCTTTATCCAAGCACACAAAAATCTGTGAGACAGACGTGCAGAAATTAATTCTCACCTCTCTGCCGTAACTGCTTCAGTTTAGGATTAAGATTTCCTGCAGCAGGAGGGCTCCCAAGTCAATCAAACTCAAACACGTGTGCAGAATTTATCCTGCTGAGAATGCCCTTGATAGACGCTCCTGAGTGGTGATTATGCTAAGCAGAACCTTTTGGCTGTGCCCCACCTGAAATCCCACCAGCGCTAATCATGCATTTCACTGACTATGGAAATTAAAATTGGGCAACCCTGTTGGGTGACAATCTCCGCTCCGCCCAACTCTTCTCCTTTCTAATGGAGCCGAACGGAGGCAAAGAGAAGCTGAACGCTGCAATTTTTATTTCTTATTTGTGCAGAGGTTAACTGGCCACTTCAAGAACAAAGGCTGCATTCTGGAGGTTTTGTTCAGGAAAACAGGAACTCTGATTTGAATTCCCACCCCGGTGAAGGTTTTCAAAATTGAATTCCATTGCTGATAATTTGAGGGCACTGTTTCCCCCCTTTATTCCCCCCCCCCAATCTTGGGATTCAATATTTCAGTCGATAATTAGTGTTCCTTCGCTGCATCAGACAGGGAAGCAGAAAACACTGCAAGAGCAAAAAAAAAGCACCATGTTAGAACACCCAGTGCATTTGCTATAGGGATGGTGCTAAAGATGGCTTCCCAACCAACCACTATATCAAACACCCCAGCCCCTGTGATCATCACCTGAGGCCCTACTTTGTGTGCCTTCTATGTGAGAGGTATGGAGGGTGGCAATACAAGAATTGGCCTTTTCTGCGGTGGCTCCCCATTTGTGGAATGCTCTCCCCAGGGAGGCTCGCCTGGAGCCTTTGTTACATCTTTTTAGGTGCCAGGCAAAAACATTAGACCCTCCAAGTGTCCCTATTTTCCAGGGACATTTCTGGATTTACAGAAGCCACCCCAGTTTCTGATTTGATCCCAGAATGTCCTGCTTTTCTTAAGGACGTCCCTATTTTCATCAGAGGATATGGAGTTATGTGAACCCCAAGCCAAGGAGAGTCTGTATAGGGAAGTTTTTTTTTAACTTTTTAATATGTTTTTATGTATGTAGGAAGCTGCCCAGAGTGGCTGAGCAACTCAGTCAGCTGGGTAATAATAATAATTAATAATAATTAATAAGAATAAGAATAAGAATATTTTATTTATATCCTGCCCTTCCCAGCTGAAGTCGGGCTCAGAGCGGCTAACAACAGTAAAAATAACAGTTTACATAAAATCACAATCAATTAATTGAAATACATTCTAAAATCAATTCGTTAATAAATATTATTATATTATTATATATTATTATTATTATTAATAATAATAATATTAAATAGGATGTCCCTATTTTCATCAGAGAAATGTTGAAGGATATGAAACACTCCTCTTTTCCGGATCTTTGGCTATTTAAACAATCCATGGCCTTTTAAACTGGGGGTGGTGTGTGTTAGTGTTTTCGTTTGTTACTATGGTATGTGTTTTTATATTGCAAACTGCCCTGTGACATGGGTCAAAAATAAAAGTCCAGCAACATCTGGGGGACACCAGGTTGGAGAAGACCACTAAACCCCAAGGAAGAGCTTGTCTCTAGCCAACAGCTTTGCTTGATGTTACATGGAGGTGAATGTCTGGACCTTGACTCATACACTCATGTGGCTGCAACATCTGCAGACTGAAATCAGCTGATAAGCTGCAAAGCTGCAGGGGCCAGAGGTTGCTGAGTCCTGTCCCAGAAATTATGAGATTTGCACAAGACTGGGGAGCAGTATTTCATTTAGCTGTGTTGCCACCAGCACTAATTCCCACAGCCCAGCTTTGCACCGAGAAAGCTCATCCATTGCGCTGAAGCACAGGACAGAAACACAAGACTGGGCTCTACCTCACCCCAAAGAACCCTATTTTTTCCACTCATGATGAAGAGCCTGCCAGGGGCAGGAATCAGGAATCAAGCAGGGACCCACCAGGCTCAAAGTCTAGTGGATAGCTTAGTCTCTAGACTCAAGTCTCAGGCTGAATGTCCTGTTTCGTGTTGCATCAAGGGGCAAGGTGAGGTTCAGTCTGGACACAAGGCAAAGTGGGAAAAGATTTGGGCTGGACAGGTGCAGCCTACCCATGAGGAGTAGGGACATCAGATCCAGCTCCCAAGGAATCCATCACCCACTCTTGCCACCACAGTGACAGTGACTTGTTGGAGGCTGGATCTGCCACCTCCATGGCAGCTGCCCACCCCTGAGGCATGTGACCTCTACAATGGACTCTTGGTGGGGCTGCTGGTCTCATCCCACCCCTATGAAGAAAATGGTGGAGCTGCCCTCTGGGGTCTGCACCTGCCTGGCCTAATTCAGAGTATGCCCCTTTCCCCCACCATGACAGCCTTTGACTCCCACTTCAATCGTTGGGTAGAGTTGATTTCTCTCCCTGCTGTTCCCGAAGTAAAACTTCATTCACACTATTGCTCCTGATGTGACTCTCTATTCCCCCCTTGTTCCCGGATGTAGATCTGCACTCACCCCTTCTTCCCTGACGGGAGGGGGGGGCATTTTGTGGTACGCCTCAGGTGCCAAGATGCCTTGAACCAACCCTGAGGCTGGACGCAGGGCAGGGAGCAGGTGAGATACAAGCAAGGTTCAGACTGCAAGGTTCTGGGGAAACTCAGAAGTTGCTCCTGCAAGGAACTGAGCCCTTTTATACCAGCAGCTATAAAACTGAACCTGGCACCTTCTAATCGGATGGACGGATGGCAGGGATGATGCCGTTGCAATCTGTATTGACCAGAAAGATGGGCATTGGGACCTCCAACAGCCTGTCACAGTTTCATACTTACAAAACCCTTCAGAGCTTCATTTCCTTCAGAAGCTGCGTTGCCTTTCCTGCCTTCCTGTCTCACTAGAAAAGCCCTGCTCATCTTGAGAGAAAACTGCAGGTGCCTCTGTCCTCCTGAAATTAAGAAGCAGGTCTCTTATCCAAGTCAGAGACTGGGTCTTCTGGTAGGGCACAGCAAGCTCCCTGATTTCTTGAAGTGCCTGTGTGATCCATACAGCTACTACGATGCCATAAGATCCACTGTCCTGTAATATTGCATATGAGCTTTAACTACTGATGAAGCCCAGGACGGCGAAACAAGGCCAATATTCCGGAAATCCTTGTCTTAGGCTCTGTTAAAGGATTCTGTGAAACTGTAACAACCTTTCATGTGAATTGTTTGGACCTTATGAACAGACAGGTGGAATAGACACTATTACACGGATGGACTTTATGCATGAACTGATTAGAGAATGATCTGATCCACTGGGTCTTCTGTTTTGTTTATTTGTTGAACTTTATGAGTTACCTCCGTTGATATTTATGATTCGATACATGAATAGTATACCTTATTTATCTAAGAACACAGCCGGTTACGTCGAGTGTGTTTACTGTGTATGATCCATTTGGCATCTAAAATAGACAACAACAACAAAAACCCACAGCAGCATCACGCTATTATTGAGCCACATTTTGACATACGGTGCTCTTGCATGTGTTGAATTATCTCGTGAGGTTTGCTGTGACGCACAGCTGACAAAAAGATTTGCCGGCAGCTTTCAACTGAGAGAGAAACAGGATTATATAAGGCCGTGACCATTGCTCCCTCCTCCAAAAAGTTCTGGAAATCTGCAGGGCTGCAATTGCACCATGTTGCAGAGCTTACGATGACCTTTTGCAAAGCGGGGCTGGTGGACGGGTTGCTTAACTGCACTGGGATCCTAAGAACCTGAGGGTTGGGCACTGTTTTTAAGAGTCCCACTGCGTCCTGTGGTAAAATTGCTGACCGCTCCCCACCCCCACCCCCGCAGCACAGGCATTTCCCATTAAACATAAATTCCTTGTGCTTGGAACCCGCCCCCCCCGCCCCGAATCCTTCACACATTATGCAAATCAAGCACATGTGCAAATATGTCTCCTGGTTTTTGCATAACACACCCTGCTTCTTTCTTAGTCGTGAGAGCCCTGCACTGCACAGAGGCTCTGCCACTAAACTGCACTGCCTAAGACTTTATTCCCTCCTTCTTTTCTGCCTCCTCTGAAATAACTTCATGTGTTGTTTTTCAGAAATAGTATCTTCACAAGCCATTGCAGGATAATTGGGATAACATATGACTGAGTTATTTGTTTAAAGTCAAATCGGAGATTCTCAAATTGGCTGAGTTCTGTCTTCAATTTCTGCCAAGATAGCAACCCAGTGGTCCCTCTAGCTCAGTATTATTATTTTTTACACTGGCAGCAGCAATCCGAGATTTCAGGCAGGGTTTTCTCCCAGCCCTGCCAGGAGATGCTGGGGACTGAGCCAGGGAACCTTCTGCATGCTCTGCCACTAAGCTATGACCCTTCCCGACTGCCCCATGTCCCTTCTGGATCTGACCAAATCTGGTCCAGCACACCACTGTACAGCGGCCAATCAGATGCTTCCTGGATGCTGACAAGCTGCATATGAAAGCAGTTGCGCCCTGTAACAACTGTTTGCAGGTACGATACTTCTGGACATGGAAGTTCTACTTAACTGACAACTCTCAGCACCCTTGACAGATGACAGTTCCTGGGATTCTTTTCTGGGAGCCCATAAAAGGTAAAGGTAAAGGGACTCCTGACCATTAGGTCCAGTCGTGGCCAACTCTGGGGTTGCGGCGCTCATCTCGCTTTATAGGCCGAGGGAGCCCGCGTACAGCTTCACGTGGCCAGCATGACTAAGCTGCTTCTGGCGAACCAGAGCAGTGCACGGAAACGCCGTTTACCTTCCTGCCGGAGCGGTACCTATTTATCTACTTGCACTTAGACATGCTTTCAAACTGCTAGGTTGGCAGGAGCAGGGACCGAGCAACGGGAGCTCACCCCGTCACGGGGATTTGAACCGCTGACCTTCTGATCGGCAAGTCCTAGGCTCTGGGGTTTAACCCACAGTGCCACCAACTTTGGACATATATTGCAGATGGGGCCCTAGAGAAGGGGTTGGCAAGGTTTACCTCGCCTGGGCCGGTTCACTCCACCGGCGATTCCTCCGTGGGCCGGATTGCGCAAGTGCATGAGCGCGCATGCCCGTGATTTCCGGCGTCTACGTCTGCGCAGACACGATTTCCAGGACCGCGGAAGCGAGTCTGCATGACATGCTGCGCCAGTTTAGCACAGCTCACAGGGACTCGCCTAGCAGGCGGCTTGGTTTGGGGGCAGCTCGGGGGCCGGTTAAACGACTCCCGTGGGCTGCTTTTGGCCCATGGGCCTTAGGTTGCCTGCCCCTGCCCTAGAGTGTAACTATTGACTGAGGTAGCTGAGAACACCGTGTCACACTCTGCTTCAGGAAGGGAGAACTGCAAATTTTGCCCATCTGCCTTGGATGCTTCAGTTCAGATTCCTGTATTGCAGAGGGCCCTCAGTGTCCCTTCCAACTCCACAATTAATTCTACAATTCTATGATTCTATGTTTAGCCTGGAAAAGAGGAAACTGAGAGAAGATAGGATAGCCATTTTCAAATATCTCAAGGGCTGCCATATGGAAGATGGAGCAAGCTGGTTTTCTCTTGCTCTGGAGGGTAGGACTTGAACTAATGGCTTCAAGTTGCAAGAAAGGAGATTCCAACAATACTACTACTACTACTACTACTACTACTACTAATATTTTATTATTTATACCCCACCCATCTGGCTGGGCTTCCCCAGCCACTCTGGGCGGCTTCCAACAAAATATTAAGATACTGTAATAAATCAAACATTAAAAGCTTCCCTAAACTTCAGGAAGAACTTTCTGAAGGTGAGAGCTGTTTGACGGCGGACTGGTCTCTCTTGAGAGGTGGAGGACTCTCCTTCCTAGGAGGTTTTAAAGCAGAGGTTGGATGGCCATGTGTCATGGATGCTTTAGCTGAGATTCCTGCATTTCAGGGGGTTGAATGTACTCTTAAGGTTCACTTCCAACTCCACAATTAATTCTAAGATTCTACGATAGCACAATCCCAGCAAATAACTGTTGCGAGAAAGAGCTATTCTCAACGCAGCGGAAGGATCACTGGGCCCAGAGAATTTAGGGGCAAATCCTTCTGTCTGCTCCTTTCCTCTCCGCCCTTCGCCGAGGCTTTCGAGACAATGGGCGATGTGAGAAAATCCACAATGGCCACGCTGTAGGGGGAAAAGACAAAGGGTCAGCTGAGCCTCCCCATCCTTTTCAGGCCGGGAGAGCCCTGACACAACTCCTGCTTGTTCCTCGCAAGGGTGAGCAGCGTCTGCAAGCACGCCTGCCTGCCTTTGCCAAGACAATTCTCTCTCTCTCTCTCTCTCTCTCTCTCTCTCTCTCTCTCTCTGCTTGTTGCTGTACTGGAAGAAGAGGCAGCCTGGAGCGAGGCAGACAGTGAGTCAGAGCCAGGAAGGAAGAGGGGGAGCTCCAGGTCATGCCTTGAGCCCGCAGAGCAGGATTAATGGACATTTCAGTCTGTCTGTGTGCAAAGGCCTCTCTGCGTCCCCCACTCCTCTTCCGAGGAGTGCAGCTGGCCGGCGGCTCAAAAGCAAGAGGTCAGGCGCTCCGGTCTGTGTTGCAGCCACTTTCTCCACAGCATGGGTGTCGGGAGGCGATACATTAACCAGCGTGTTCCTCCTGGCCCTGCGTGAGACTCGAAGGGACGAAATGAAATTAAGAAAAATACATTTTGCCTCCGCCGCATTCCCCCCACCCGCTACGTCTCCCTGCCTCCTGGCTCGCGGCCAACTTGTCATCTAGTCGTGCATAATTCTTGCAGGCTGAGAACGGCTGACCGCCTTGAAAAATATTTACCGTATTTATTTTTTAAAATGGGAATCCTTAAAAAAAGAAAAAATCTCCAAAGCCTGTTCGCCAGCGTCTCCTTCTCTCGGTGCATGACAGGGCCCTGGATAATGGTTTGATGGTTCCCTCCCTCATTCTTCACCTTTGCCCTTTGGCGTATAAGTCTAAAGGGATTAATCTGCTGGGGGGGGGGGGGAGAAAAACCCAAGGAAACATAAAAGCAAACTTTCATGCTCCTTGCATTAGCCTCCATCATTTCTCTGTCCCCTCAGAAAACGCAAAAAAGAAAAACACCACCTTTTAACGCTCATTCTTGGCAGAGGCAGCTCTTTCTGTACAAACAAGCATTGGATGAATTTCCTGACTGTGGGGGCAATTGTGACATTTTCCCAGGCCTTATGGGTCATATTTTCCTCCCTTGTCTCGGTCTTTGTCTTCTCAGCCTCTCTTGGGAAGGAATATTTCAACATTTAATGTTTACAGGGGCTGTAAGCATAGCTGTAAACTTGCCCACCTGCTCAACGCTTTGCTAATTATCCCTAGGCTAAGCTACTCATTTTTCAGGTGGTCTTGTAGTAAGATTACTGGGAAATGATATACAGTGGTACCTCTACTTGCATTCACCTCCGGGATACATACGCAGCAAACCCAGAAGTATTTTTCTGAGTTTCGCTGAGCACGCATGCTCAAAAACGCTCTACATGCCGTGCGCATGTGCAGAAGTGCTAAACCGCGCCGTGTGCATGCGCAGAAGCGGCACCTCCAGCTGCAAATTCCTCAGGATGCGACCGGAGCTCTGGAAAGGATCCCGTTTGCAACCAGAGGTACCTTTGTACAATGAATTGAAAAGGATGTTCAAAATAACTGGTGGAAAAACCAGAAGCTTTTCTTTTGGGAATTATAGCGACAGAACTACCTAAATTTTATAGAAATTTATTTATGCATGCTACTACAGCAGCAAGAATGCTACTTGACCCAAAGTGGAAAGAAGCAGAAGTCCCAGCAAAGAAAGAATGGAATACGCAGAAATGGCAAAACCTACTGGAAGAATAAGAAATCAAGATGACAAACTCTTTATAAAAGGTTGGAAATGGTTTGTTGAATATTTACAGATAAATTTCAAACAGATAAAAACATTGGCAGGATTGTAAGAGTATATATTTAAAGTAGATAATTAAATGAAAAAATAAAATGAATTTGGATATGCAGAAGATATTAAAAAATAAATTTAAGGAATCGCAGAAAGGGGAGGAAGGAAGTCAAACTTTGAAATGTTAAATTGATGGTAAAACTAATGACATGTATGAACTTGAAAAGTATAAATAGAAACTTTTAAAAACCCCACAACTGCCCATTTTTCAGATTCAACCTTAGCTCATGGCTAAATGGGAATTATTGTGCACGAGGGGTTGCTTGCAGGGTAGACTGGATAAAGATTTGAGGCAGGCTGAACCAGCCGCTTTAGGCAGTGTCACGGGCTGGTTGGACACAGAGGAATGGTGGCAGCAACCAGCTGAGGAACCCAGAAGGGAAGAAGACTCATAACCCGGGAAGTGGTGGTGGGACAATGACGAGTGGTCAGAGGGAGAAGACTGGGAAGAGGAGATGTCGGAAGCTGAAGAGGCAACAAAGCTTAGTGAGCAGGGAGAGTCTGTGGCAGAGAGCAGTCCAGAATCAGAGGAAGAAGCTGAAGCAGGAGAGGAAGGAGGCCAAGAGGCCGAGATGGGTCAGGCTGGTGAAAAAGCACCGGGGTCTCTGTCTCCTGCTGCAACAAGCTCTCCTCTCACCCTTGTCTCCCAGAACCAGCAGCAGCATGAAAAGGGCGGAGGAGAGGTCGCTTTCATACACTTACAGGGCACATGGTAGGCTGTGTGAATGCCATACTCCAAATTCTGCAGTGAGAAATAAAACATGCTCCCTTGGGAATAAATAGAATAATTTAAAAGAAGCACTACAGTGGACCCTCCGAATATGAATTTAATTTGTTCCGGGGTCTGTGCGCACCCCAAAGATTTTGTAAGAAGAGGCGCAGCTTCTGCGCATGTGCGTGTGGCGAAACCTGTTTACCACGTTTGCAACCTGAAAGTTATGTTACCCAAAGCGTCCACTGTACTGAGATCACCATGTCAGAGAGAATAAAACATTAATATGCCTACACAAGGCTTTTTTTGTGACAGAGCTCACTGACACGGACACATCTTATTTATTTGTGCCCATGGTGGCCATTTTGTGCTGCCAGCCTCTTTACGTTTATCAATATATGAGTGCAAGAGCTTCATTTTATTTTATTTTTACCACAAAAAGAGCACAGTTCTTATAGGTCAAAGGCCTGCCTAAGGTTTTCATATAACAGCATACGGAGGGGCAAGTTGAACCTCTCTAGGGAGAATGTTCCAAAACCTGGAGGCAGCCACGGAAAAGGCAATTTTCTTTTGCAGTTCCAAAATTGGCAGAACATGCAAAAGTCAGAGCCTTTCTGAAAGATCTTAATAGTCAGGCAGGCTCATCTGAGAGCAGATGGTCCTTTAGATTGGAATGGGTTTCCTTCATTTGTATTCTTGGAAGCACAATTTGTTTCACGAATGATTGTTGTTGTTGTTTTCGCTTCTGTCATTTGGTAAGACTTGTTCCAAAATTTGTTTTTAAGAAACACTTGGGAGAAAGAATGAAAGGTGTACGGGAGGATCATAGCACTTCAGGGAGCAGCGAGCGCCTCAGGAATGTGTTTGCTTCATCTTCTGAAGGGAAGCCATGACACTGAGCAAAAGGAGGCCCCAAATAGTTCAGTTGCGAAGCAAAGGTGACTACAGGCTGGCGCTGGGGAAAGTTCCTCCAGTTATGATGGTTTCCCCAGCCCCAGGGGAAGCTGAATTGGTGTCAGTAATCACCACAAAGGGACTTAATTGTAATTAGTTGATTTATTGATTTCACGGGGATAATACAGTTTTCTCTAGCTACTACTATGAACACTGGTTCCACTTCAAGCCAGAAAGGCATGGTTCCTTTTAAGTGTTTGTGTGTGTGAAAGAGAGACACAGAGAACACACACAGTGCTTTTCTGTGATCCTATTCCTTGCTATGTTGTTGTCACTTTTTGTTTTGGTCGTTGCCCTTGGCAACCACTGTGTTCTGGCACCCTTGGCACCGTTACCAAGAAACGAGTAGCCGCCGCTCATTTTCTATCCATCTAATTCACCCATACCATACTGACCTCAAAATAGGCCAGAATTTTTACCCCCAAACTGGCATGTACGAAAGCTGAATGTGACCTATATTCGGGTAAATATAATATACAGTGGTACCTCGGGTTACATATGCTTCAGGTTACATACGCTTCAGGTTACAGACTCCGCTAACCCAGAAATAGTGCTTCAGGTTAAGAACTTTGCTTCAGGATGAGAACAGAAATCGTGCTCCGGCGGCGCGGCAGCGGGAGGCCCCATTAGCTAAAGTGGTGCTTGAGGTTAAGAACAGTTTCAGGTTAAGAACAGACCTCCAGAACAAATTAAGTACTTAACCTGAGGTACCACTGTATCCCTTAATTGTAATGATTATGGTAGAGCCATTCCTAGACCCAGTTGCCACCTGTCCTGTATAATACGGGATTGCCCCTTATTTCAATGTAAAATGTTGCGTCCTGTATTGATTCAATAATGTTGCGTCCTGTATTGATTCAATACAGGACTCAGTTTGTCGCGGATTCCCCCTCTTTCCACTCTGCTCCCCTCGCTTCTTTCCTTTTCCCCCTCCTCGCTCCCTCTCCTCATCCCACCCCCAAGGAGGAGCAAACCAGGGCAAGGCCCTGACATTATTGCTTCTGGTTCCCTGCAGCTTTGCATGGTTTAAGGCGGCAGTTCGCAGAGCTGCAGCCTGGGAGTGCTGGGCCCCATCCCTCAGAGAGCAACAGGCTTACAAATGTGTGCGTGTGTGACAAATTCCAGAGGGGCCATGCGGTCAGATCGCAATAGATTGCTCTGAAGTCATTTCAGCACCAGGTGGAAAAGCAAATCGCCCCAATCCAACTCACTCTGGACTGCCCGCTGCCATCCTATCCTGTCCTGTATTTTGCCAGAACAAAGGTGGTAACCCTACACAGGATTCCAGATCTGAGATAAAGCATAAAGTCTACCCCAGGACTCACAAAAGACAGACAGGCGAAAAGGGGGACAGGGACACCAGTCTGCATGTAGCTTAGCAAGGAAGGAGCTCTAAACAAGCTGTTCACCTAATCTTCTTCTTTGGCGATCACTCATAGCCGAGTAAGATTGTCTTCCATAAACACAGTGACTGTGGAGGCCAATTCCAGATCCACACGTCCTTCCACAGTGGGGACATTGGTTTCTGGGCAGGAATTGATCACGGTGTGGATTTGCCAAGCGTGCCTTTCTCTTAGCAAGTTTCTCTCTTGCGTCCTGAGTTCGAGTGTCTTCAAACCCCATGACACCTTTGGTAAAGGCTGTTCTCCAGCTGGAGCGCTCGCAGGCCAATGTTTCCCAATTGTTGGTGTTTATACTACATTTATTTTTTTTTAGATTTGCCTTGAAACAGTCTTTAAACCTCTTTTGTTGACCACCAGCATTACGCTTTCCATTTTTAATTAAATAAAAGTAGTCTGAATCCAGGTTCTTATATCTAAGAGCCCCCAGCCTTGAGCAGAATACTATTCCCACTGGGCAATGGCTGCCTATTACCAGTTTTGCATGTACACCTCTGCATTTCTCTGAGTTCAATGGCCTTCTCTGGTAGCAAGACACCCAACTGGATGGATGGCTGTGTCCTTGGAAGGTGCTACAAATCCTCTTGTGTTAGGGGGGAGCGGCCGTGGAGAATGTCTATTTGTGTGTCCTTGCTATTTACGTTGGAAGAATGGAGGGAATTATCTATGAGGCAGGATCCTGTACTCTCCGCAATTACGGCCCATTCAGCAATGAATGTGCCACTAAGCCTTGCAGAGGAGACAAAAGGAACACCCCCAAGAAGAACTTGTGGCTGCTGTTACCAGGGAAACCACTTCCCTTCTTTTCTCCCCATGCAGAATTCCCGCACCCTCGGTGATTACAACCAGTGCATAGAAACAAATTGTATTACCAAGGATTTTTGACAGTGGGGGAAACTGGGAGAATCTCAGGTGATTGTTACCACAAGCAAAGACCAATGAAACCATACCCCAAATAATGTACCTGCAGGCTTCTATTGCAATTTTTTTAAAATCTACATCAGAAGGTTCCTAATCGTCTGAATGGTGGCTGGAAGCTGTTTGCAAATAAAGTTGTAGAGTTTCCACTGTGATCTCTGGTAACATGAATCAATGAGGTATGCTCTCTGACTATTCTCCTATTGAGACACCTCTGGAAATCACAGATTGTTAAGCCAACCCTCCTTCCTATTCTAATATACCCAAGCCTAATAGTATTGTGTGTTCTTGCGTTGGCATACGTCTATCTCAAGAGACAATGTAGTGTGCCCTTGGGGGTGAAGTCAAACCAGTGCGTTAGCAGTGCCAAAGTGACCTCCCTGGGGTGCAAACTTGGGCAGTGCATATTGGAGATCCTGCCCAGATAACAATACCCACCTCTCAGCCTCACTGATGTGGTCCTGTCAGGATGCTGTCAACGGCTCCTGGCTGGTTGCCCAGGAAAGTATAGACAAGGAAAAGTTTCTTACCACCCTTTTTCATTTCAGAGAGAGGCTATAAAACCCAGCCTCTTGGATAATGGCATTGTCCCAAGAGACTCTCCACCCCCCCCATCTCTCCCACTTCCTCATTCGTCATTCTCATCATCTCCTCTATGGGTGCTCCTACGTGCCCTCTGTCACGTAGTGGTATAGTGTGGTGTAGTGGTTAAGAGAGGTAGACTCGTAATCTGGTGAACCAGGTTCGCTTCCCCGCTCCTCCATGTGCAGCTGCTGGGTGACCTTGGGCCTGTCACACTTCTCTGAAGTCTCTCAGCCCCACTCACCTCACAGAGTGTTTGTTGTGGGGGAGGAAGGGAAAGGAGAATGTTAGCCGCATTGAGACTCTTTAGGGTAGTGATAAAGCAGGATATCAAATCCAAACTACTCTTCTTCTTCTGCCTTTGATCTCTTTGCTCTCCTACTTTTAAGGCTTGCCGGGTTCTGGGAGATGGAAAGTTTGGAATGCTTTCTAATGACAACCTGTCATCCAGGTGTTGCTCTGGCTCTCTCATGGTTTCCCAGCTTTTCCCTTCATCTGTCTCTGAGCTGCGACCTCCCGCAAACCCTGTTGTAAATCTATACTGTCTTCCTCTTCCTTCTCCCTGGAAGGGTCAGGATGTCTGTCTCGAGATAAAATGGAGTGGGCCTCTCAGGATTAAGTGTGTTAGCAGCACCAAAGTGACCTCCCCTGGACGCAAGCCTGGACAGTGCTATGGAGGTCCTGGGCTGCCCAGACCACAAGACCCCTCTCTCAGCCTCACTGATGTGGTCCAAAGGAAAGCAAAGCAATACATTTGGCATCAACTTGACTGCAGGAGTTCCTGGAAGGAGGCGTACAAGTCACCATCCAACAATCTGAGGGACTGGGATTTGGATCTGCAGTGCCACGGGAGCGAGATGAATAAACACCCAGCAATAAAAGATAATGGGAGAGGATTTACCCCAGCAAATTATTTGTCAAAATTACAAATACCCAAATACAGACTGTCATTTACCCTTGCTAGATTCAACGTGCTGCCATCTGCCTTATTGCAAGGCAGATTCGAGGGTAAACCATACGCGGAACAAGTCTGCCCCTGCGGCTTGATGGAGGTAGAAACTGTCTCTCATGCCTTGTTACGCTGCCATTTCTACGGGGATATATGCTCGGTATTTATCACTCCTGTTACACAAAAATCTCCAAATGGGTCCGAACTTCAATGTCTAAAACTCCTGGTAGAGGACAAGGATCTAGAGATCACGCTAAGGGTGGCCAAATTCTGTGCGACTGCCATAAAACTTAGGGAACAAGCTGTACTACCAAAATGATTAAGGTTTTAAATGACAATTTTAGGTTATATTTTAGTGATCAAGATTTAATATATATTTTTAACTGCTGCTATATCTGAATTGTCTCTATTATACCCAATTGCAATTCAATGTATTCTTGTTGTGTTTTATGATTTTCCTGATATTGTAAGTGAGCGGGAACTGGTCTGTGACCGTAATAATAAAATTCAATCTGAGGGACTACACTCTGGATTTGTGCAGGGTTTACTCCCTAGCGTTTTCTTTTGCCGAAGTTGTCGTGCAGGGCAGCCAAAGTTTTGAATTCTGATTCAGTCTTCTGCGGCATTAGCTGCTACCCCTCCCAGTTTGATATCATCTGCAAATTTGATGAGCATCCCCTCAATTCCTTCATCCAAGTTGTTTATAAAGATGTTGAACAACAACAGGCCAAAGATAGAACCCTGCGGCACCCCACTTGTCACTTTCCCCCCTTTTAATCCACCTTGATTTCACCAACCTAAAGTTCCGGTAGATGTGTAGACATACATGTAGACAAAGGTCAAGTGATAACTCAGGGCTGGTTGGAGGAAGCTGAATGAGAGCCTTACTTCCACAGGACTCCATCCATAGCAAAAAAAGCATAACAATATCCACCAAAATCAATAGCTTCACAAAAAGTAAAAAAAATAAAAAAATCAAAAGAAACATCTAGAACAGTATTTATGTGTGGTGGAGGTGGGGATGATTTGAGAAAAGGATTTATTAGGGGAAAATATTAGAAATACAGTTCTGGGAGATTTTGAGTTTGTTTTGTTTGGCTAAAGAACATGCGACATGTGCATCTGTATGAACATTTTATTGTGGAGAATATCTGTCGTTATAAAAATCCCTCTTGGCAGAAATACAGAATTAGGATATCTGTTAGGTGATGAGTATCAGTTGGTCGAGGATGTGGATAAGCAACTGAGGGTACAGTGGTACCTCGGGTTAAGTACTTAATTCGTTCAGGAGGTCCGTTCTTAACATGAAACTGTTCTTAACCTGAAGCACCACTTTAGCTAATGGGGCCTCCTGCTGCCGCTGCACCGCCGGAGCACGATTTCTGTTCTCATCCTGAAGCAAAGTTCTTAACCTGAGGTACTATTTCTAGGTTAGCAGAGTCTGTAACCTGAAGCGTATGTAACCCGAGGTACCACTGTATTAGGAATCTAATCCCCCCCCCAGTCTCTCTGCTGGCCCCAAGCATCACCTTTCAACCTAAGGGACCCTCGCCTTTACATTATTATGTAATGCAGCAATTAGGAGGAGTATTGAAATACCCCCGTACCAGATTCTGGAACTCTCAGGTCTAATGATTGTTTCTTCCCAATGCTGCTAAGTTCTTCCATCACTTGCTGGTTCCTATGGGATTCTCCAACTCACTTTTTTTTTTACCCTTCCACCACCCAGCCATTTCCTGATGGTGTTTGCCACGCCATGCCTTTTCCCCAGAACAATGGACTACTTGCTTCTGCACCAATAAACTTGCCACTTTCTCTTCTCTTGCCTCCCTAAAACAAACGAGTCCTTCTATCTGTTTTTTGTCTCACGCAGAGCTGGTTCTCCCAATAATTGCTTGCGGGTGCACAATTTCAAAGGGGCTTTTATTGAAACCGCATGCTCTCCCTCATTTTAGCAAGTTTTCAGGACAAACTAGCATCTCTGAAGGTGTGCTTCCACCTGATCAGTGCTGGGAGTGAGCCTTCAAAGGAGGCGGCTGTATCTCTCTGTCAGCTGATCGCTGGTTACAGATATCCCCATTGAACTTTGACAGGTGTCAGTCGCCTAATATCATTGACAGTTGGGCAGTCCCACAGAGGGTGAAGGACTGAAAATACCTGTCTCAGGTGCCAAAATAATTTGCCCAGCGTTGGATAGACTGCACTTTGACTTCTGAGTGCCATTTGATATATTGCCTTGTGAAGCAAAATGTCTTGGGCTGATCCTGGTGTCATGATGACAATGAACACTAAACCTTTCCCTTTTTTAAGGTGCTGTCTTAAAAAGTAAAGGACCCCTGACAGTTAAGTCCAATCGCGAACGACTGTGGGGTTGCGGCGCTCATCTTGCTTTACTCGCCGAGGGAGCCAGCATTTGTCTGCAGTTTTTCTGGGTCATGTGGCCAGCATGACTAAGCCGTTTCTAGCAAAACCAGAGCAGCACACGGAAACGCCGTTTACCTTCCTGCCGGAGCGGTACCTATTTATCTACTTGCACTTTGACGTGCTTTTGAACTGCTAGGTTGGCAGGAGCAGGGACCGAGCAATGGGAGCTCACCCCGTCATGGGGATTCAAACCGCCAACCTTCTGATCGGCAAGCCCTAGACTCAATGGTCTACACCACAGCACCACCTGTGTCCTGGTGCTGTCTTAGTCCTGCTTATTTCAGGTGACGACGGATGAGTGAGAATTGCAGAGTGGCAGATACTCATGTTAGAATATTTACAACTAGCAAAACTGACGGGAGGAGTTAGAGAAGTATTGAACCAGAAAATATTTGGAGAATGGTGAATATTTAAGGATTATATAAGATCATATTGTATCAACCACACCATATTAGCAGAACTTGAGTGATACTTGTAAACACAACAAATACCCTTTGTGGAGTAGACAGGAACAATATTAAAGAATATAAAACTGTGTGGAAAAAACCACGACAGCATAAAAAGTAAAATGAGAATGATTGGAAGACTCATTTTGTCAGAAGTCTTTTTTATTTAAGTGTTTATTTAAGTATTAATGAGGAAGATTAAGGTTTTTTTATGCATGTAAATCTGCTTTTTCTTCTTTTTTTCTGTATTTTCTTCTTCACTTTTTTCTTAATTGTTTTTTCTTTAATCTTTTTGTAGTATGAGATTGCAAATTCTTTGTAAATTCTTTGTATATGTGTGTAATTTAAATTAATAAAGATTATTTAAAAGAGAGAGAGAGAATTGCTAAGTAACGCATAACAGTGTTTCATATTTTAAAACATGTGCAGGGATGAAGGTGGAGACCGTGATCAAGCAGCAAGCTTAGCTTTGGTCCTGCCTCCAGATATCTGGGATTTGAACTTGGCAGCACTTTAGAAATTGCATCCATGGAGAGTTGCCAGAAATAAAATAAAATAAAATTTGACCTGCCCGAGACGTAACGTTCTAGAGACAGAACGTTTCCAGTCCAGTGAGCGTGTAAAAGTGATCCCATGAGTCGTTCAGATTGAAAGGAGTTAATGGACGAAAACACTTGAAAGCCATGAAATAAATAAATAAAAAAGGCTACTGGGAATTTCCGCCCACAAAAGCTAGCGGACTCTCTGCTTACAAAGATCTTCACTCTGAAGCAATTTTCAGCTTTATTGCACTGTAAATAGAAAATTCTCCAGGTCCTGGACGAGGCATTGTGTAATAGGGCCGAATTGTTACAGGTGTTTCCTGCAATGAAGTCCTCTGGGTATAAAAGCAAATTCTGAATTTTTAGCAGCATGTTAAAAGTTCTCTTAAATGTAAGATTAATGTGGACAAAGTGTCCAACACAGACTTAAGGGTTTAAGCACTCTTGACTCTGTCTTGGATTGTGGCCAAAATCTGTAGCCAGGTACAGAAAACTCTTCTTCCACCAACAAACGTTATGTAGAATTGAAATGTGTTAGGTGGGGTTGCTCAACATAAATTGCAAATCTGAAAGCTGCATGAAAATTGCAAACGATCCCAGAAAAAGGAATCATGGTTCCTTCCAGGCCAGTGTCAGAGCTGTTGTTGAGCATCTGCTGAAGTTAGGGACGAGGGAGAAATTTGATTCAGTTCTCATTTAAAGGTGAATCTACCACATTCACACTTACCCAAGGAATATGCAAACTGAAACATCGATGTCCTTTTAAATTTGCACTTCTTCAGATTTTGCAGCTAGGTTGTTGGCATCTGCCTGCTATGAGAGACCATCTCTGGGGGTCAAACTACTGGAGAATCACAGCACCTGCTGTGGCTGCAGAGACCGGTAACTTGTAATTGCTGCCTCCCATATTGTTTTTGCTGTGTTAGCAGCACTGAAGCAACTTCCCTGGGGCACAAGCCTGGGCAGTGTGTATAGAGGTCCTGGGCTGCCCAAACAACAAGACCCCCCTCTCAGCCTCGCAACCTCCAATGGAGAGCAGAGCAAGACGTTTGGCACCAGCTTAGCTGCAGGAGATGCCCAAAGGAGGCATACAAGGCACTATCCAACCATTTTAGGCACCCTCTTACCTTTGCAGTCTGCAGCCTTCCCAGGTGTCCACACTGCAGCTAAAGCCTAAATACATCATGAAGTAATTCCCTGGGGTTTTTTTTTTTTTCCAGATCAGGAATTGCTGGCAGCCAGGAGGCTGCAGAAATGTTTACTGAAGAGAAAGACACACCTCTCCGTTTGCAATGACAAGCTAGACTCAAGGCACCAAATGCACCCAAATTTCAGAGTGTCCTGAGAACAAGGCAATCAAACAAAAATCTCTCTCACAGGGGAAGAAAACTTTTGAAAAATTGCAGGGCAGATATCAGCACAGCACTAGTTTCAGTTGAGCCGCTTATGTATACAAGAAATGCATTCAGTTTCTGTAGTTCCAGCACTACTTGCCAGGAGCTAATATGTTTTGAAGTGACTTGCTTCCCCCTGTACTTGGGAATGAGCATTATTGATTTCATTAGCACTTACTTCTAAGCTGGCATGTTTAGGGTTTTCTTGTTAATGAGAACAGAACATATGCTAGGTAGGCAGATGCTGAGGTTGGGAAAGGTTTCCAAGTTCAGCTGATCTGCACTTTTTCATTAATGCAAGATTTCTCCTGGCCCCAATCTTCTCTAAAGTCTTCCTGGTGGGTATTAACTTGGACTAGGTGTCAAGGGGCACACAGAACAGCTGTCAAATGGAGCTGTGTGCAAGTGTTTGGCAAGCTGGATTCTTGGCAGATATTACATTGTAATAGAAGAGTAGTATCGCAACCTTTGTCAGATCCTAGCTGAATCGCAGTTGGATGCCTTTTCCATCCCCGTTCCATGCAATTATTGTTATGGCTAATTGTGAGGAGTTAAATAATCAGTTGCTAAGAACTTTAAAGGAGGAGTTAAAGAAGGGAGTTGTTAAGAACGTCCTTTAGTCTGAACTGAAATGGGTTTTAAGCTGTATTCAGCCTTAGGGGCCCGAAAGTGCTACAGGGACAGGTGACATTGGGCTGGAGCCACACTAACTTAGTTACGCATTCATGGAGTTATGACAAACTTTTCACACTGATTTCAGTGGGAACTAAGCTGAGGCTCCAAGACTTTGGCCACCTCATGAGAAGAGAAGACTCCCTGGAAAAGACCCTGATGCTGGGAAAGATGGAGGGCAGAAGGAGAAGGGGATGACAGAGGACGAGATGGTTGGACGGTGTTCTCGAAGCGACCAGCATGAGTTTGACCAAACTGCGGGAGGAAGACAGGAGTGCCTGGTGTGCTCTGGTCCAGGGGGTCACGAAGAGTCGGACACGACTGAATGACTAATCAACAACAACAACAAGTGTAACTACAGTCGTACCTCGGAAGTCGAACGCCTTGCGACTCGAACGTTTTGGCTCCCAAAAGTGAGTGTTCCAGTTTGCAAACATTCTTTGGAACCCAAACATCCTCTGCGACTTCCGCTTGGCTGCAGGAGCTTCCTGCCACCAGTTGGAAGCCGCGCCTTGGTTTCTGAAAGTTTTGGAAGTTGAAAGGACTTCCGGAAAGGATGCCGTTTGACTTCTGAGGCACGGCTGTAATTTAATCTGTATTTCATAGAATGTCCTTATTTACTAGGGTACAAAGTGTTTTCTGGTCACTTTTCCTGTTAAACCACTACCCCTATTTTTTTATTATTTATGTGGGCAACAACTCATAGTTTTTAGCACTGCCATTCTTCAGGACAGAGTAATCCAACCCCTCTTCCCTTACACCAAGGGGGGTTTGTGTGCATTGGATCAAGCAGAGGTGTTCCTCTGCTCAGATGGCTGGGCTGGCCTCCTGTCAGTTGCCAGATGTGTGGTTGCAAGGGGTGGGGACCACAGTCAGCACCAGTGGAAATCCCAGAAACAGGTTGTCCATGGAGTGACGTCTTCTGATCCACTGAGGTGGTGCACAGTGGAGGGTGACCAAGCTTTCCCCCCGCAGCTGTTGGAGCCTCCACCTCTCCCAAGCTTCTACCTTTGCCAAAACATGGATAATCGTTGCCTACCACCGACACAGAAAGTGTTTTGTTTTAATATTGCTGCTAGCAACACCTTCGTTATGGGCTGCAAGGCCACAGATGCAGTGAGAACGGGGAATTTCTGTGGCCCAGGCTTGGAGGAACTGAAGGCTGAAGGCATTCTGTTGACATTCACTTTGTCAGCATCAGGTCTCCGTTTCTGCTGATCATCTGTTCTTTCGGGGCGGGGGACACACACACACAGGGAGGGAATGGGGAAGAGTTATTATGAGAGAATGACTGATCCAGCTGTAAGGAGAAAGGGTCTGGCAAGCCCCTCTCCCCTTCTCTGGACCACACAAAGCTTTGATGGGGTGACCTTCGTAACAGGGAAGAGAGATTTATGTGGTGGGGGAAAGATTACAAAAAATAAAAATGAGGAATTTCTTTTTAACCCATGAGATAAATCCTAAATGAGTAGCCCTGGTGGATAGGTATGGCAGCAGAAAGACTACAGGCATACTTACACCACTGTTTTTATATGGTCATGGCTTCCCCCCAAAGGATCTTGGGAACTGCAGTGTGCTGAGGATGTTGAGTATTGGGGATTGCAGTTTTTTTTGAGGATGATTTTTTCCCCTTGCAGTATTTCTTTTCTCGTCAGCATTTTCGTATCAGTACTTACATACCAGATTTTGTATTCATTTCCCCTTAATTTACACATTTTTCCCAAAGTGATCTTGCCTTTTTGCATGGAACTTACCTATGCATTTATATGCACATTTTACCTTGGTACATGCATTTTTGCACACAAGACTAGGCTGGAGAGCTTCACTGCAAAATTAAGAGAAGTGCAAATTTCAAAGGATGGGTGTGTCCCAGTTAGCATCTTGTTTCAGAAAGTGCAGATCTGAAGGTTCGCTTTTATAGATGCAAGCGGAATCAAATTCCTCCCACACACCCTACGGTCTGACCACATTCTCCATAGGGGGCGAGGGCAGGGAATCCAATGTCGAAACTGGTCACACAGAGCCTGTACCATAAGGCTGAGAGTTGTTTGGTGACCCCTAGTCCCTTCACAGAGCTATCATTCCCAGAGTTCCTTGGGGACAGACATAGACACACTGGGAACTGCAACTTTGTGAGAAGGCAATATGGGTGGCACTGTGGGTTAAACCACAGAGCCTAGGACTTGCCGATCAGAAGGTTGGCGGTTCGAATCCCCGCGACGGGGTGAGCTCCCGTTGCTCGGTCCCTGCTCCTGCCAACCTAGCAGTTCGAAAGCACATCAAAGTGCAAGTAGATAAATAAGTACTGCTCCGGAGGGAAGGTAAATGCCGTTTCTGTGCGCTGCTCTGGTTCGCCAGAAGCGGCTTAGTCATGCTGGCCACATGACCCGGAAGCTGTACGCTGGCTCCCTCAGCCAATAAAGCGAGATGAGTGCCGCAACCCCAGAGTCGGCCATGAGTGGACCTAATGGTCAGGGGTCCCTTTACCTTTTTAACAACTCTCAGCAGCCTTAACAAACTACAGCTCCCAGGATTCTTTGGGGAGAAGCCATGACTGTTTGCAGTGGAATGATACTGCTTTAAACATTATAGTGCAGATGGGCCCAAAGCACCCCTGAGCCCCATCTCTCTTGCCCCTGCATCTCCACACCAGGAAAAGCGTCACCTTTAAAATTCGCACATGCCAAGTGTTACTAACACATTGCCGCTCTTCCCTGAAGGCTTATCTAGGAAGACGACCTCACTGATATAATCAGAGTCATCCATCTGCCTCTTAACAAGAAGCTATCATCCGATGGTTGTGCTGGTTTGTCACAAGAAACAGCTCCTCTTTCTGTTAGTCAGAGGGAAAGGTGTCTGGATGCTGAACAACTCAGTGGAAGCCCTGATGTGACAGACAGATTTCAACATTGTCGAACACAATAGATGTGATGACTGCAATTCATTCCTGGTCATTTGATTTCAAATGTTTGTTTGGTTAAGGGAAAGAGCCTGCAGTTGAAATGTGCTCCTATTTCACAATGTGGTCTCCAAGGCTGAAATGTAACCCGCTAAGTCACTTTAGCTTAGCAGGGTGTGTGTGTGTGTGTGTGTGTGTGTGTGTGTGTGTTCGTGCATGCAGACACACAAAACAAACACCAACTGCAGGGTATTTTGCCAAACAACAAGGCCAGCCACTCACCCAGCCATAATCCACAAATCAACTGTAACTAAGCAGTCGGATTTAAGTCGCTCTAGACTGCTGCGAAAGCTGGGAGACCATCCTTTGTTGAGGTAATGGTTTGCTAATAGACCAAGATTATAAGTAGATGTCATCAGTGGGAACTAACAGCAAGAGAAGGTAGTTGTGCCCAGTGGGACCACATTCATTACACATAAACCTTGTTAGATACTGTGAAGTGTGAATCGAATTCCCTCAGAAGGTGGTGGACTCTGATTCACTGGAGGCTTTTAAGCAGAGGTTGGGTAGACATCTCATGGGGCTTCTTTAGCTTTGATTCTTGCATCGCAGGAGACTGGACTAGATGACTCTTAGGGTCGCTCCCCACGCTAGAATTCCATGGTTCTATGATTAAGCGCTATCCCGAGTTTCATATAGATACCGTATTTTTCGCTCTATAACACGCACCCGACCATAACACGCACCTAGCTTTTAGAGGAGGAAAATCCGTAGGCATGCCACCCATAGGCATTCCCTCCATAACACGCACAGACATTTCCCCTTACTTTCTAGGAGGAAAAAAGTGAGTGTTATAGTGCAAAAAATACGGTATATACATGGCTAGGGAGGGAATTGTAAACTCTACAATTCTATGATCCTATGCTAGCCCAATGGGCTTTACCACCTCTCCTCCCCTGTGCCCCCTGCAACCTCCCCAAATTCACTCTGCCATTTAGCCTGGCAGAAAGGTAATAATGTATGTACAGTGCTTGGAACACTTGAAATGTGCTATTAAAGGTGCGTTCAAAAACACATCAAGAAATGCACAATTGTGAACAGTTATTGCAGGAATGTAATTAATGGTACTGAGCAACAAAAAAATGCTGGTAATCCTACCAAAACTCTCCTGGATTATCGGCAAGAATCTGCCCCAAGCAGATTTGTTACAAACTTTGTAAAATGACCCCAGTTTTATTTCCTTTTGGGACTCTTGCAATAACACCACATTGCAGTGCAACATCTCCATCTCCGAAATAATGCTGTAATATATTTGAGAGTTGTATTTTTTTCTCATGACCTTTAGAATGGAATTATTGCTTAAGATTGAAATCTTGCTATTCTCGAAAAGAAATTCCCTTCCAGTCCCTCCGGTGCAAACTGAAAGATACAATCTGGTTGAATCATTTCTTCTCCATCCTATGAATGAAAACTGGATTAATGGGAACCGACGGTGTTTTGACTTGTTACTTTTATTTATGTCCCGTTCTGGTTCCGCAGAGGAGATCACAAGGGGGAAGTGGGCCAGTAGCTGAAGGACCAGGTAAAGGTAAAGGGACCCCTGACCATTAGGTCCAGTCGTGACCGACTCTGGGATTGTGGCACTCATCTCGCTTTATTGGCCAAGGGAGCCGGCGCACAGCTTCCGGGTCATGTGGCCAGCATGACTAAGCCGCTTCTGGCAAACCAGAGCAGCGCACGGAAACACCGTTTACCTTCACGCCGGGGCAGTACCTACTTATCTACTTGTACATTGATGTGCTTTCGAACTGCTAGGTTGGCAGGAGCAGGGACCGAGCAACGGGAGCTCACCCTGTTGCGGGGATTCGAACCGCTGACCTTCTGATCGGCAAGTTCTAGGCGCTGTGGTTTAACCCACAGAGAGATCCAAATGACATTCGAAAGCAAACTAGCCTTTCAAAGCCTCTGCCCCAAGATTGCCTCTCCCAGGCTCTGTGGCCTTGTTCCGAACTTCCTTTCTTAAAGGGCCAAGACAGGCACTCCTCTTATGTTCTATGGCCTCCTGCCTAGTGGACAGGTGAGGTACTATTGGAAGCAGTCACTCAGGCTCAAAGGAAGGCACCTGTGAGGTTGCGGCTCTGGCAGTACAGACCTTGGTGCCAGGGCTGTCTTAAGCATATGCGGCGCCGGGTGCAAAGTTCTGCCTGGCGTCCCCCCCCATTACCCAGTCCCAGGCGCGCAGGAGGGCGGAGCCGGCTGCCTGCCTCAGCGTCTCACTGGCTTGGCCACCCCTGAACTCGCGGCGCAGAGCCGCCCACAGCAGAAGAGCCCACCACGGCACTCCAACAGACGGACAGGCTCTTCCCTGGACTCAACTCTTGCACCCTGGACTCTCCGCCTGGCACCCCTGAGAGCCCGGCGCCTGGGTGCCCCGCACCCCTAGGACCTATGGGTAAGACGGCCCTGGTTGGTGCTATGAGAGGTTGTGCCATGGGCTCCTGCTAGTCAGACTGAGTGGTCTCCCAGGGTTCAGCAGCAAGCTCAGAGCCCTGAACTTTGTCCAGCTCCATGTCTTGATCAGCACTGGACTTGTGGGATATAAAGCTGTCAGTCAAGTCCAACATTCCGAGAGGACTAACTGCCTCTATGTGGCAGGCGGTTTTGTCAGTTGATCGGTTGGTCGGTGGCTGCAAGGAGAGTTAACTGGTAACTGCTCGGACACAGTCTTCTCATGATTCACTACTATCTAGTATATAGTTTATCTGTTATGTAACCTAAGCCTGCCTTCAGGAACAACTCTGTAAACCTGAATGAATCTGATAGTAAAGTAGAGTGGTACCTCTGGTTATGTACTTAATTTGTTCCGGAGGTCCGTTCTTAACCTGAAATTGTTCTTAACCTGAAGCAGCACTTTAGCTAATGGGGCTTCCCGCTGCTGACGTGCCGCTGCCGCGCGATTTCTGTTCTCATCCTGAAGCAAAGTTCTTAACCCGAGGTACTATTTCTGGGTTAGCGGAGTCTGTAACCTGAAGCGTATGTAACCTGAAGCGAATGTAACCCGAGGTACCACTGTAGTTTATGTTAATATGATTCAGATCCATGTGTGTTTTCTTTAAGAGGGAAAGAAAGTGCCTACAGAGGGTGGTGAATACAGCACAAGATATTATGGGCTGTCCCGTGAATCCACTGGATGACATTGCGGAAGAACGTTGCCTCAGAAGAGTGAGGAAAATTCTAAGGGGTGATTATTCACACCCTGGCTGGCACTTTCTTGATCTCCTGCCCTTGGGCAGAAGATATAGAAGCATGATTAGTCCCACCAACAGGGTAAAGAACAGTTTCTATCCATGGGCTGTTAGGCTGCTGAATGAAAAGATAACAACAGGGCAACTGACTTTTGGGTTTGGTGGGTGTGCGTCAGCAAACAAGGGGAATTAAGACTAAGAAGGCTGAGTGGGGGGTGCTCGTGTAATCTCACTGTATACAAGTTGTTGTTGTTGTTTAGTCGTGCCCGACTCTTCGTGACCCCATGGACCAGAGCACGTCAGGCACTCCTGTCTTCCACTGCCTCCCACAATTTGGTCAGACTCATGCTGGTAGCTTCGAGAACACTGTCCAACCATCTTGTCCTCTGTCGTCCCCTTCTCCTTGTGCCCTCCATCTTTCCCAACATCAGGGTCTTTTCCAGGGAGTCTTCTCTTCTCATGAGGTGGCCAAAGTATTGAATCATAGAATCATAGAGTTGGAAGAGACCACAAGGGCCATCGAGTCCAACCCCCTGCCAAGCAGGAAACACCATCAGAGCCTCAGCTCCAATACTTTGGCCAATACAATACAAGTTGTACAAGTGACAATAAAGTATTTCATTCAAAGGGATTATCAACCAGGAAGGTATGATTATTGATAGGACTCAAACGAGTTAGCAACCTGCTTGTCGCTGCATAAACTCAAACAGGGGATCGTTTAAACTCTGCTAAATTATATAAACGTTCCCATAGGACTCATGGGTCACGGCAAGATATGAAGACCCTGTTGGATCTAGGCCAATGGCCCCTCTAGTCCAGCATCCTGCTCTTACAGTGGCCAGCCGGATGCCTGGGGGGGAAATCACAAGTAGGACCCCAGCATGTGTTAGTTTCTGCTTTCCTTCACTGTGCAGCTCTGCTTGTCACGAGACAGGTGTTTACATTCCACAGTCTGTACTGTTGGAGTTTCTCACGGGAAAGGGAGACTGGATGTGACGTACACTGGTTTCCTGTTTTTCACTGTGTGATTCTCTCCGAGCTGTCGAGGAGAGAGGATGCATTTTTCTGCTCCGGCAGAGGCAAGATGTCTTTCTGTAATATACCAGCTTTGAACTGTAAATAAAGCAATATAGAGTATGTAGCACGTATTCCTCATCCTTCCGCTGGGCACCAGACTCTGCAATAAATCAACACGTGGTTATGGGCTCCAGAGGTCGAATCGGAGTGCCGGCAAAGGATCGGAATGCAGAGGGACGGATCGGAAAGGAATCTGCTCTGCGCGTAGAGGTGATTGATGAGGTATGTGCTACTGCTCCGGGCAGCCTGCCAGCTTCAAGTTAATGGCTTTATGGCTGGACTTTGAACTTTTAAAGCCGGTTTTGCCGGGAATAGGCAAAAGGCTCCCAGGCACAAGTCACTATGCTGGGGAAATCGAAGTAACTTTTAAGTGTGCCTTTGTAATAAGGCAGCTGCAGCAGTGACGCAGCAAGAATTAAAGCAGCATATGACGCTGAAGGCTAATGCCAGAGTCATGATGGCCCTTCAGGATGCTTGTGGGATTCCTAAGCTCAACAAGAAAAATTACAGCGACTGGGTTCAGTATGCAGAGGCAATTCTGCGGAAAGAGGGTTTGTTTGAGGTGATTACAGAAACCCCCAGTTCCAGTTACAGATGCATGGGAAGCTAAGGATTCCAAAGCAAGGGAACTCTTACATTGATAGTATCCCCAGAAGAGCTCTGTCTATTGCGTGATAAGACCTCAGCCAGAGAAATTTGGGACGCTTTGAGAGAGGCTCACTTAAGGACAGAAGCTGGATCCACTATGTTTTACTTTAACAAGCTGCACAATATGGCTCTTGCTGAAGGTGGAGATGTGCGTTTACATCTGATGGAGATGCAAAATCTGAGACATGAGCTGCAACAGAGAGGACTCAACTTTCCAGAGGCTGTGTATTCTTTCATGATACTACAATCTTTGGGTTCAGGTTGGGAGTCTGTTGCAACCCAGATTGCTGTGCAACCAACTGCTCAGCTGACAGTGGACTTTGTTACTGCCGTGATTTTAAATGAAGGAGATCGCCGGGTGCTAGCTGCATGGGCAAGGGAGTCTTCACAGACGTCATCCCATAGTGCAGTGGAACCACCAGATGGCGCCAAAGCTTTGAAGGCAGTGAAATGCTACTCATGTGGACGTCTAGGCCATATGAAGAGGGAATGCAGACATCCCAGGGCCAAGACAGAGCAGCGCAGCGAAGCTCATCGCGCGGAAAGGCCGAGGCAAAGGCAAAGGTCCGGTGTCTAGGACAACGCAGCACAAGGCTATGGTTTCACGCTTCACTCCAAAGGTTGCAGAGGTCCAGAAGACGTCTAGATCTTTCTTCGTTGTTGATTCAGCGGCCACCCACCACATGTGCAACGATAAGAGACTGTTTGTGTCTTTTACACCGCAGGAAGGTGCGATTCACCAGGCGGATGACCACACTATTCCCAGTAAAGGCTACGGAACTGTTGTTCTTCACAGTTTGGACTTATCGATACAGAATGTGCTTTACGTGCCAGACGCCAAACATAATCTGCTCAGCGTTGGACAGCTGAATGAGCGGAACATTGACGTTTCCTTCAAGAACAAGAAGTGCATCATCACAAAGAAAAATGATTATGTATTGCATGCAGAATATGTTGATCATTTGTTTGTTTTGTATTATGATGATGTGGTGCAGGATGACACTTGTTGCATTGCAGGTTCTAACAAAAGTTTGCATGCAGAATGTATTCACGATTTTCATCGAAAATTTGGTCATTTGCATTTTGAGGCAGTATCTAAAATGCCTGCCTTGGTTGAAGGTATGACTATTAAACCCTGCAGGTACCACATGAAGTGCAAAGCATGCGCAGCAAACAAGGTGAAAATGGCTGCGAAAGGTAAGGTGTCTAGTAGGAAAGCTACAGAACCATACCAGGTTGTTCATGCTGATTTGGTTGGACCACTAACGCCCTCTTTGGGTGGAAATAGATACTTCATGGTTCTCATTGATGCATTTTCTAGATATATTTTTGTGTACAATCTCAAGCAGAAATCGGAGGCTTTTCCTAGGTTCAAGGAATTCTGTGCTTGGTTGGAAAATGTGCATGGTAAGAAGATAAAGACTCTTTTCAGTGATCGCGGGGGGGAATTCACTTCTCAGCAGTTTGAAGCTTTTCTGACTGAGAAAGGAATTCAACACGATTTGTCTAGTCCTCGCTCGCCATGGCAGAATGGACTTGCGGAACGGGCAAATCAGACATTGCTTCAAGGCTTAAAAACCTTGCTGCATGATGCCAATCTTCCAGAGAGTTATTGGGCCGAAGCTCTCTCGTGTTTTGTTTACAGTTACAATCGCAGGTTATCTTCAGCGATTGGTTGTACCCCCTATGAGTAGATGTGTGGCAAGAAGCCGTCCAGCAAGCACATGAAGATTTGTGGTTCTGACATGTGGGTTCGCTCACCACAAAACTCCAAGTTAGACAAGCGTGGATTGCATGGTATCTTTCTAGGTTATCAGAAAGGGTCTTACAGAATAATGATGACTGACTCTAAGACAATTAAGCTCACGAGAAGTGTTGAGTACAATGCAAAGTGGGGGAGAATGTGGGAATTTTCCAATGTTATCCTGATGACGGTGATGAGACTGAGGATAGTCAAAGCAACCACAACAGCCCACACCCACTGATGAAGGTTCTGAGTCTGAATCTGAAACTGAATCGGGTGATTCAGAGGATTTCAAGAGTGCGAAAGCCTCTATGCGACCCTCTGAAAGCTCTGATCAAGAATTGGAAGAACCATTGTTCACAATAGGTCGTTTTTCTCCTAAGAAGGAAGAGGAGAGTGTTGAAGACTTAAGGCTAATTCGTAGGTCACAGAGAGCCACGAAAAGCAAACCTCCAAAGAGATTTGCTGATGAGTTTGCTACGATAGCAGTAACAGCTGTTAAAAGCTCCAAGAAGGTATTTGAACCTTCAAGTTTCCAAGAAATCCAGGGTTTGGATTCAAAGGAAGCTGAGCCATGGTTAAATGCCATGAAGGCTGAGCTTGATTCCTTAGAAAGGAACAAAACATGGGAGCTAGTTCCAGTAGTTCCAGGAATGAAACTGCTTGGAAGCAAATGGGTCTTCAAAGCGAAGACAGATCAAAATGGCAAGATAGTCAGACACAAAGCCAGATTGGTAGCCAGAGGTTTTGCACAGGTACCAGGTGAAGACTATCACGAGACCTATTCACCCACAGTGAGATATGAAAGCATTAGGCTTATGCTCAAGCTAGCTGCAGAGGAAAATCTACACATTAGTCACCATGATATTAATACAGCTTTTCTGTACGGATCTCTAGATGAATCACTTTATATGCTTCCACCTGATGGCGTACAGGTAAAACAGGGATTTGTTTGTGCTCTGAAGAAATCCCTTTATGGTCTCAAACAAAGTGCACGGTGTTGGCACACAAAACTCACTGAAGTATTGTTTTCTCTAGGTTTTCAGCAAGGGAAAGCTGATCCATGTGTATTTGTCAAAGAGGAGGGGCAAAAGAAACTGTACTGTTTGTTTTATGTTGATGATTTATTATTCTTTTGGAAAGATGTTGCAATGTACAATAGCGCCTAGCTCAACTGAAAGAGCACTTTGACATGAAAGATCTTGGTGAGGTAAACAACTACCTATCTCTGGAAATAGAGAGAGATCAAGATGGTAACATTCTAGTACACCAGTCACGGAAAATTGCTGATGTATTAAGCAAACTAAATCTGATGGATGCTAACCCTGTAGACACACCGATGACAACAGGTTATCAGGTAGATGACACTGAAGAAGCATTTTCTGACACTACACTGTACAGGAGTGTGCTAGGCAAGCTAAACTTCATTGCCAGATGTTCAAGACCAGACATTGCTGTTAGCTGTAATTTGCTAAGCAGACAAGTCAACAATCCTAGTGTCAAGGATTGGAAAGCTCTGAAACGCATAGCGCGGTATTTGAAAGGCACTATGCATTACAGACTGAGATTTAACAATCAGAAGTCTGGTGGTCTTGAGATATTTGCAGATGCAAGTTTTGGAAGTGACGCTACAGACAGGAAAAGTACGTCTGGAGTTTGCTACATGTACAATCAGAGTCTGTTTGATTGGTCATGCAAGAAGCAAACAACAGTTAGCTTAAGTACTTGTGAAGCTGAACTGAATGCACTGTCTTATTCACTTAAAGATTGTGAATGGTTGTTACAATTGTGCAAAGATATGAAAATTCCTGTCAAATGTCCAATCCAGGTTTACCAGGACAACAAAGCATGTTTGGCTTTGCTCAAGTCTGAAGGTTGTAAGCTACGCACATAGCTCTTACAATTAAAGTTGCAGCATGCTAGGGAATGTATTCAGAAGGGACTCGTAACGGTGTCCTATATGCCAGGTAATGAAATTCCTGCTGATGTATTGTCCAAGATTGTATCAAGGGATCAACACTGTACCTATGTGCAGAAGTTGGGTTTGTACTGATATTGTGCAAACACGCTGCCCAGTGATGTTCACAGAAAGGGGAGGATGTTAGTTTCTGCTTTCCTTCACTGTGCAGCTCTGCTTGTCACGAGACAGGTGTTTACATTCCACAGTCTGTACTGTTGGAGTTTCTCACGGGAAAGGGAGACTGGATGTGACGTACACTGGTTTCCTGTTTTTCACTGTGTGATTCTCTCCGAGCTGTCGAGGAGAGAGGATGCATTTTCTGCTCCGGCAGAGGCAAGATGTCTTTCTGTAATATACCAGCTTTGAACTGTAAATAAAGCAATATAGAGTATGTAGCACGTATTCCTCATCCTTCCGCTGGGCACCAGACTCTGCAATAAATCAACAGCATGAGCCCTCTCTTCTCCCGTGGTTTCCAGCAACTGGAAGCATTGCTGCCCCCAGGTGTGCAGGCAGAGCATAGGTATCATGGCCAGGAGCCACTATGGCTAGTAGCCATCAATAGGCCTCTCCTCCATGAATAACAATTTATTATTATCTGCCTTTTCATGGGCTGTTCGGAGTAACAGATACAGAAATCTAAGGAGCTTCAAAAAACAAACAAACCAGATGACGTTTAAAAAAAGTATTCAAAGGTCTCGTAAAGACCAACAGGCATATTTTCCTGGGGGTGAGGGAGGGAATTCTGAAGGTATGGGGCCGCCACTGAGGAGGTCCAATTTCTTGTAATAAAATAAAATAAGGTAAAAGGTTAAAGGTAAAGGACCCCTGGACGGTTAAGTCCAGTCAAAGGCGACTGTGGGATTGTGGCGCTCATCTCGCTTTCAGGCTGAGGGAGCCGGCGTTTGTCCAAAGATAGTTTTCCGGGTCATGTGGCCAGCAGGACTAAACCATTACTGGCGCACGGAGGACCATGGTGAGTGCCAGAGCGCACGGAAACGCCGTTTACCTTCCCGCCACAGCGGTACCTATTTATCTACTTGCACTGGCATGCTTTTGAACTGCTAGGTTGGCAGGAGCTAGGACAGAGCAATGGGAGCTCACCCTGTCGTGGGGATTCGAACCACCGACCTTCCAATCAGCAAGACCAAGAGGCTCAGTGGTTTAGACCACAGCGCCACCTGCGAATAATAATAATAACAATAATATTAACAACATGCTGCCCATCTGACTGGGTTCCCCCAGCCACTCTGGGCAGTTCCCAACAAATGAAAACACAGTAAGACATCAAACATTAAAAACTTTCTCTATACAGGGCAACCTTCAAATGTAGCTAGCTGACAGTAAGCAAACACCTGAAAGAACTAGTTGTGTTTAGCCTACCTAAATAAAGAGCAGGTGAGAAAATGTTGGCAGTTTTCAAGTCTGAAGAAATGTCAGGGAAAAAGAAGGGGTGATGCAGGTTTATCAGGACATGATAGGCCAGAACCAACAGTGCTTCCCAAACCCCAAACAAAAGGGTACCCATTAAAAATTGTCATCACTGATTTAACATTTGTTTCCCCCAGTAATTAATTTATTGCTTAACCTAATGAAAGTTCACAGCTCTGTAAAAAAAGGTTTTGTAACATGTAAATTTATTTAAATGCACTCAATTAATTAATCGATCCACTGGTTAAAAGCCAGGTAATTAATCAACAAAAAACCTCCATTCCTTGCCAACCCTAAAAAATATGGGCACCATTTAAAAAAAAGCAAAAATGAAAATATCGGGTGTTGTGCCAACTAATCTGTCATGACTGAATGGGCTGTGGCAATATCGCCTCTCTAGTTGATTGTCCCAGAATCCCACCTTGTGCCTTAGGATGTCGGAGACTTCCAGTGACAATGGGAGTGGAAATGGCCAGTGTTTGCTTATTCGTTCCAGGTCTGAATGGAAAATCAATCCAGCGGATGCAGTTGATATTTGCCATTGATTTCAGTCCACAGACGATAACGTAATTGATCAAGCTTGCCCCCCACCCTATTTGCGTTGTGTTTCCTTTGCACGAAAATGAACGAGGTGGAATAACAAAGCAACGTAATTTATGTAAGTTGTGCAATTTCACCACAGCTGACGGCAAGATGAATAATGTAGTTTTTGGCAGAAGATGAATTGCAGCAGAACAGAATCAGTGCCGCATGCGACAAGTACGGAGCTGAAATTAAAATGCTGCCTTCTTCCATCCCTTCTTATGACCAACTTAAGGGGCTGCAGTCAGCCAGCCCAAGTTGCTGGCTCCTTGCTGTGCCTTATTGCGTAAATATAGGTCAGCCAGACAATACGGCTCCAGCCTACAAATCTTCTTTTCAGAAGCCAAACTTCCAGCCTCATAAATGTGGAATTTGTTGAGACCAGGAACGTTAGCCCATTATTAGCCAATCCGAGCCTTATGAAAACAAAAAACTCTTGCAGCACAAGCCATGAGGAATAATTGTGAGTCTAGCAGCAACGTTGTGCTGTAACACGGGATGCCGAAATCTTCTGTAATGTCTTGCCAGGGGGGATTAACTACACAATCACAGCATTTTAGGCGGTCTGTTTTTTATGTCCCTCACTCCAAAACTGTTGTGGGAGGTGAGGCCAGAGCTGGCTATGAACAAGCAGTTACAATGAGCTCTGCTCCTAGTGCGCCACACGTTTTAGCGGTTTTTCTATCTCATCAGCATGTTGTGCACATTAGATATCTTTAAACGTTTAGCTTTGAGCTAAACAGTATGGATGCGTCCAGGCAGCTCTACATAGGATACAAAATTCATTGCGTTCCAGAGGGATTGCTGTGTTAGGGCACTTCCAGGGTTGTTGCTATTTTCTGGGTGGGATTCACTCACACCCCGGCAAACTCAGATCGCACAATTGTAGTTGATTGGTGGGTCTTCCACCAAGAAAAGCCCTCCCCCTTCAAATCAGAATGTTTGCAACAAGGAAAATGATGCGAAAATACAGTGGAAGTTTGGGATAACTCTTGCAAAGAAATCTGAATGGATGTCCGTTCAGTGGCCAACGTCCAATCTCTGCAAACAAATCAGGATGAGGGCACAGTAAACAGGTTTCCTGTAGTCTGTTGCAACAAAAGAAAGGAACACCTGAAAGAGTAACAAAATTATTCTGGCATATGTTTTCATGGACTAGAGTTCACTTCATCATATTCCTTTGGGATTCCCTTCCAACTCTTCAATTCTATGGCTGCAGTTCTGAGATAGGCTTTGGCTGCTTTAAATATTATTAACTTCGATGAGATTTAAGTAATCCAACTGCAAGGCCGCAGCTCCCAAGTTTACACTTCAATAAACGTGCTGTTACCTGTCCTATGCAGGGATCCAGGTCTCTTCCCTATTTAAAGTGTGTCTGTTCATTTCCCTGACATTCAGATTTGATTGTGGTGAGAGTATGACTTCTTCTCCAGCTGGCAAGCAGAAAATTTGCATTCCAGCGAACATACTGCTACACGAACCCAAATACCCGATCAGTAAGCAATCTCAGGGGTCTCAGAACACACTCTGGAGTTTGTTTCCTTGAAATGAAGGTCACTCGAGAGACTGCAGTGTCTTTGTGATATACGGTTTTATTTACACTGTATACAGGCTCAGTAAAAGCTGGGAGGTTTGCAGTGTTTGTACAGATCTTGCTTGCCCACTAGGTTTTTGAGAGGAGGCATCAAAGCCACAGCTTTGGATTCTGCACAGAGAGCAAAAATCAGACACCATCTCTCTCTCCCCCCCCCCCTCTCTGCAGTGCCAAGTCAAGACTGGCCTCAGGCCTGTTGTTTTCTTAAAGTCACCAGGGACATCTCCAGCATGAGGACAGGAGAAGGCATGCCTTCTCTTTATCTACCCGCCTTTGTGAAAGCATCAGCCAATTTATTTTCGTGGCAACCGGTCACCTGTACGCTTTAGAAATACTCCACAGACACTTAACTTCAGAGATCCTTTTAAAGAGATACTTAACAAAGGAGATTCACATGACCACTTTAGCAGCCTTTCGTTCTACAGAATCCCAGAGGCTTGGCAGAGGTTAAAGGATGACACCCTATAACAATACACTACTGCCTTGTTGTTGTTGTTGTTGTTGTTGTTTAGTTGTGTCCAACTCTTTTTGACCCATGGACCAGAGCACGCCAGGCACTCCTGTCTTCCACTGCCTCCCGCAGTTTGGTGAAACTCATGTTTGTAGCTTCGAGAACACTGTCCAACCATCTCGTCCTCTGTCGTCCCCTTCTCCTTGGGCCCTCCATCTTTCCCAACACCAGGGTCTTTCCCAGGGAGTCTTCTCTTCTCTTCACGCTACTGCCTTACAGCAGCCCTTTTCAGGGGCAGACTTCGGTCTTTCAGATTTCAGCGGCTCTCTGTGCGAGGTCAAAATCTGGCACCTCCCTGCCTTTCACCTTCTGTTCCAATCAATTCTCTGTCCTAGTTGTGCCACCCTACGGCACCCCCTAGACTCGGCCCCTGTGTGGCGGAACCGGTCACGCTGCCCTAAACCTTCCCCTCTCCTTTTCACATGTTCACATCCTGCACGGAAGGAACACATGGAGGAGAAGAGCAGGAGCGCACCTGCGGTCGCTACTCCCGATCTCCACATGTTCACTGTCACTCAGGAAAATTCATCACGCTTACAGCTTGCTAGTGCAAGGGCTTGGTACACACAGCGGATTACCAGGTTGAGAGAAGGGCTGGGGAGAGCACTTTTGAAAGTGGTGCTTTTTTTCAGGGTGAGAGTGTGGGAATGTTGAGGATAGTAGGAGAGGATATATTGATTACTGTAAATACTATCCTTCCTCACAGTAGTGAGCTAGTAGTATAGCACATTCCCCTGTACATAGAAGGAAGCTAGTTGATAGATTTGTTAGAACCATTTGAGTTAAGCAATCCAGTCTGGCTTGTCCAGATTGGGTTGTTCCTGGTAAATCCCCTTTGTTCCCTTTTAAAAAAATAATGACACAACGGTCTTCTTTTAGAAAGTAGTGATAAGGTTTACTTACATTCAGTTCACAGTACAGTCATACCTCGGGTTGAAGTAGCTTCGGGATAAGTGTTTTCGGGTTGCGCGCTGTGTTACTTCCGGGTTTCGCCGCTTGCGCATGCGCAGACGGTCAAAATAACGTCACGTGCATGCACAGAAGCGGGAAATCACGACCCACAGAGGCGGGTTGCATTCGCTTCTGGATGCGAACGGGGTTCCGGAACAGATCCCGTTCGCATCCAGAGGCACCACTGTATGGTCCTGGGCAGGCTTTAGCTTTCAGTTACAGTTACAGAGAAAAGTCTGGGTTCATCCTCTTGTGAAGGATGAGCCCATGTGCTGCTGGCTGAGGGCCAGCACACAGCAAAAGAGCAAGAGAGGAAGATGGCTGCATGACTGGCCCTTTTGTAGGGTCTGCCAGGGTCACGCCCATCTACACGCAGGAGGAGGATGCTCCAGACCAGGTGTGACAGGAAGTTCTCCTGGCTGGAGCAACATTCCCCTATGTGTCCACTCTGGGCAAACAGGAAGTGTTATATTTGACTGCTTATGTTACATCCCACAGAGAGAGCAACACAGGTCACGTGACTCGCCTGGGAGTGTCCCAGAAGATGTGCGTCCCAGTTTTGGGTCAGGGAAAGTTGGACGGCATGGACACTGGCCAATATGTTGATGACTCTTGCCATGAAGTGCCCCAAAGCTGCCCTCCTGCATCTGGAACCTCCTGCATCTGGTTAGGTTCCAGCCCTGCCCTTTCCCACAAGTCACCATTTCCACGGCTTTCTCGCTTCCAGCGGTGGAGGCTCTGCAATTTGCTCCATGATTTCAGTGCCATTTTGTTATTACAGATGAAAGTTGGACATTAAGGGCTTAATTCCAAAATCACTACCCCATTCTGCATTCGTCCCTGAACAGTGCTTTTAAAAATAATAATAAAATAAAAATCTCCTGCTTCCTTAGTTATTATTGCTAAAACGATATCTTAGCTCAGTAACACCGCACACACTTTCTCTTGGGTGTCTATGCCTTGCTCTCACTCGCATCATCGGTTTTTGCCATCACGCCTCTTCTGATGCCAACGATGCCTAATACAAATAAGCATCTTTATGAGGTTTGCAAAGCTCCAGATTTGGAAGCGAAGAAATCAGTGTGGAAAAATGATCCAACACTTTTTCTGTGCTATGGAGAGCAGATTTATAGCAGGTCGCCTGCAGCCCAGCTGGTCCCTTACCACCACTGCCAACAGTGCTTGCAATAATAATAGTCTTGGGCATGGCTATAGCTCAGGGCAAGAGTTTCTGCTTTGCAGGCAGAAGGTCACAGGTTCAATCGCTGGCGTCTCCAGGTAGGTACTGGGAATGATCCCTGCCTGAAACCCTCTCAAATCCCTGCCAGTCTGTGTAGACCAGGGGTGCCCAAACTTTTATCAAAGAGGGCCAGATTTGATGAAGTGAACATGTGTGAGGGCTTGTTGATTTGGGGGTTGAAGTTGTGATAACCGGGTGCCAGGATGTGTCCACCATCTGGAGGCGCATGTCTGGGGATCCTTGGAGCTGGGCTGTTTTCACACACTAGCAACACACCCTGTAGAATTCTCTCTGTTATATTTTATCTAAACAATCAGAATGGATTTCAGGAACCCCAAGTCATATTGAAAAGTGGCAACTAGACATTCTGTTTTGGTAACTGTAACCCTGGTTTAAGGAGCCATTTGACAACTAGTTTATTTATCAGAATTTCTAACTCTGCAGGCACTGTCTGTAGACCAGGGGTGCCCAAACTTTTTTCAAAGAGGGCCAGATTTGATGAAGTGAACATGTGTGAGGGCCGACCAAAGTTGTTGTTGACCTTTTTTTAGGATTGAAGTTACTGAGCTTTTTTTAGGATTTTACCCCAGGACATATACTGCCACGGGGGCCGGATTAAATCAACCGGTGGGCCAGATTAGGCCCCCAAAACAGACTTTGAACATGGCCTGGTGTAGAGATAGTGAGCTTTCCATTGATGTGTAGATCATGAGTTTTCCTTAAACATTTAATTGTTGACAGCTGTCTGTCTCAGGAAACAATGGAGCTTCAATGGAGTGTGCCTTTGGGGGTGAAGTCAAACCGTTGGAGAGTTACAGCATCTGCTATGGCTGAGGAGACCATCATATATTATGTTCACCATGTTGCACATCCCAACCAAAGCATTGATAGCCTGTCAGAAATCAATATAGAGCATCTGTCTAATGGTCTGATGTGGCGCTGCCTTTCGTCTTCTTCTGGGAAAGCGAAGACTGATTCAGCCCCAGCGGTGAGGAATGTGGGGGGCAGAAGGATGAAAGGCCAACTTGTCCTAATATGTGTAATGTTTTCGCAGAGTCGCCTCGTTTCCTACCCCTGATGTAATCAAGGGCTCTGTGCCTTCATGAAGTAAGAGCTCTCTGGGGGCGCATAACGTGAACCTTTGCAGCTTGCGCCACTGGAACATAAATTCCTGCCCGGTGACATATATGATGCCACTTCTCCCTTCTGAGTCCCACCTTGCCATCTGCTCAAGATCTCCAGCACTCCCGGCTCTGAAATGAAATTTCCATGCGCAATCGCTTTCCGCATCCAGAAACGTCCTCCTGCAAGCCACTTCTGAGCCTTTTGGCAGGGATAGGCTGCAAAAGGCTTTGGGGAAACGAAATGGGTTGGCTTTTGGCGGCTAGGAATAGGGGTGCACTAGGGTTCCAGTTGTTAAATGTTACAGGCTCAGGGTTGGAAGTGGAGGTGATGCTCACCTTGGGGTTCCTGCTTAAAACAGAAACCATGTATTCAGTTCCATCACATGCGTTTCACCACTCCTTGGCCCTGCACAATGTGCTCCTTTTAATAAAAATTACAAGGGGAAATGAGGAGTGACGTTGTTGCTATGGGGTGGTCAATGTAGCGTTTACTTTTGGACTTAATCCACAGAAGGTTCTGTATGCAGAGGAATATAAGGTCATTGCTTAATGGCAGTGGGGAAGCTGCATGCTCTGGCACCAGGGGCAGAGAGCAGGCGGGGGCGTGGCGTGCCACCCGCGGGTGTGTAGCGTGCGCCCTTGGGGTGTGGCGCCCAGCGTGGTGGGGGTGCACAGTGTGGGGGGCAGCCGCAATGGTACCCCTCTCCCCGATGGTGCTGCTCCCCCGCCCCCCTGTTCCTCCACCAGTGCTTAACAGAACCATTTGGGTCCATGCTGGCTCCTCTGACTGATAATAATTCTCCAGAGAATTAGCCTGCTTGCTAATTGATGGAGACACCAGGGCAAGATGGGCAATTCATCTGACCTAGTATAAGAACATAAGAAGATCCCTGTAGCCGGTTCAGGCCAGTGGCTCATTTAGTCCACCATCCCGTTCTCACAGTGGCCAACCAGATGTTAAGTATAATTGTTTAACACAGCATAGTTGTTTCCATTGAAATGGAAAATAACTCTGTATATGTACTGCTAAGAGCATAGTATGGAAACTTCCACGACAGAGTTGCAGAGAGCCTAACGTTAATGATTGACTGTTAATGTATCTCTGCTGCTCTGTCTCGAAGGGTTTAACTTAGATCACATGGGGCATTCAGTTGCAAGTCTCCCTTCTGGGTGTGTGGGTTAGTCTTTGTTCTGAAAGCAACCGAAGAGGAAGGACTGCTAATGATTCTCTCCAGGGGAAAACAGCCTCGGGCCTACGGAGGCTGTTTGCAGGAGAGTCTTTAGCTCTCGGTAGAATAAATTAATATTTCTAAGATACTTTACCTGTGCTGGGACCAGCACATGATATTATGCAACTATCTGGGTGTAACATTATTTGTTTTGTGCCTGTTTTGGAGCAAGTTCTGCTAGTAAAGCTTTTGAACCATATTTTTGGACTGGACAATTTTTATTTCAAGAGGAGTCAGTTTTTATTCACCCTATTGCTTCCAAATGTGCATATTAAAACCCACAATAGATGTCCATATGGGAAGCCCATGGGCTTCAGAGCATGATTACCCTCACCACCTGAGGTTTACAGCAACTGGCATTCAGAAACATTGCCGCTACTGACAGGGGAGGTGCAATGAAACTTCCTCTGTCCCTTTGTTGTTGTTTAGTCGTTTAGTCGTGTCCGACTCTTCGTGACCCCATGGACCAGAGCACACCTGGCACTCCTGTCTTCCACTGCCTCCCGCAGTTTGGTCAAACTCATTCTGGTAGCTTCGATAACACTGTCCCACCATCTCGTCCTCTGTCGTCCCCTTCTCCTTGTGCCCTCCATCTTTCCCAACATCAGGGTCTTTTCCAGGGAGTCTTCTCTTCTCATGAGGTGGCCAAAGTCTTGGAGCCTCAGCTTCAGGATCTGTCCTTCCAGTGAGCACTCAGGGCTGATTTCCTTCAGAATGGATAGGTTTGATCTTCTTGCAGTCCATGGGACTCTCAAGAGTCTCCTCCAGCACCATAATTCAAAAGCATCCATTCTTCGGCGATCAGCCTTCTTGATGGTCCAGCTCTCACTTCCATACATCACTACTGGGAAAACCAGAGCTTAAACTATACGGACCTTTGTTGGCACCTCTGTCCCTAAGGATGCTTAAAACACCCTGCCTTTTACCGAAATTAGTTCCACTCTACAGAAACACCCTCACATGGCAGCATCATGTTACCCCACCACCCTTCCAAGTCAACTCTTAGCCCCCCCCCCCAGTTTGCAAACGATACCAATATTTCACACTTTTGTGTGCCTCTGCTCATCATTAGAAACCGCATGCTGAATAATTATAAGCATATTTGCGCGGCAGACTGTTCAAACACTTTGGAAGTAATGAGTATTCTCCCAAGTATTTGCAATGGGGAATTTGCAACAATGACCTTTGATCTGGCGTCTCAGCTGCATGAGTTATATGCGTGCTTCATGGCTTGCTGTTCTGATTTTCACCCACATCGGCCCACAGAGACACAGCTTGTGTCATTCTTTAGAAATATTCCGAGTTTTGAGGAAGGCAATCTGGGCTCCATCTATTATTATTATTTTTTATTATTTAAAAATAATATTTATTACTTTTCCAACAATTTAAACACTACAAAAACAATGCAATACAACACAAAAACACTACATAACACTAACACATTAAACTAACAAAACAAAACAAAAACAGTTAAACGCATCAAACAATTTCAATATCTTATCTTTCATTCACTTATTTCCACGACCTCCTCACACCTCCCTTTTTGTATTCCACTTCTGTTAATTGTTTCAGCAGTTCCTTTCCATCTTCCTCTGTTTTCTATCCTATAATTATCTTAACACATTCTAACCTTATTCTTCCCTTTAATTCTCTATTAATCCATTTATACTTAATTCCTTATAACATTTCTACTAAAGCCATATAACTTCATTCCAACATTTTTCTAACATTCATTAATTTTACAGTATTTCTGTAAATAGTCTTTAAACTTTTTCCAGTCTTCTTCCACCGACTCTTCTCCCTGGTCTCGGATTCTGCCAGTCATTTCCGCCAGTTCCATATAGTCCATCAACTTCATCTGCCATCGGGCTCCATCTATTATGAGTTGAGTCTGAGGTGAGCACAGATTTCCACAACTAGAGTTCTAAAAGCTCATTAAAAGCTGCTTTTTCATCTGGCCCAAGCTTTTTAATGATCTGGCCGGTTCTCCATGTTCCACCATCATCTTCATCTTCATTGGAGATATGGAGAGCAGGCATGACATAAGAGCCTTCTCTGTTTTGGCACCTAAGTTGCTGCAGACAGACCAAAAAAGACTCCAGCTCAGAAGATGGCTCAGCCATTCTGCTCACTTGGCTGATCTCTGTAAAGTCAGAATCATTTAGCTTTGTCTACCTTACAGGACTGGGGGTGACGTTTTTATAATTACTGTTAATAATTATTTTATTTTTGGTCACATCAAAAAAAAATTCTCAAAGTGATTTCCAGGTTATTTTTAAGGATATAATACCAAATCAAAATACATCAAGATGTTAGAATTCCTGCTCCATGCTTGCAGTCATGGGATTGTTGTCTTTCACATGACGGTATGTGTTTTGACTCCACAGAGTGGGAAGTGACGAAGACAGGATGTTTGTGTTACTGTGTTCCGTGAAGTGGGACTATTGTCCTTTGTTCTTTTTCTCTTTCCTGTCTAATGCTAGAGAGAGGGGGAGCCATGTTGCAGTGCTCCGTGTGTGTTTATATGTAAATAAAGTAGATTAGCCAAAATGCTGAGTTGCTGAGGTCTGTTACGCAAAGCTGTGCAAACTCTGCGGATCCCTAAGTGTGCCGGTGTCAGTTGGCATCGGTCACTGTGATGTTCGGGCAGAAGAAAGCTTTTGAAGCTCCCGAACGAAAGACCA